TAGCAGGATATTGACAAAGTCTTGTTTTTTGTCGCTATGCCTTACTCACCAAAAGCCCTGATACTCTTTTTAGGCCTCGGATTACATTGCTACAGACCCAGAAATTGAAAAAAAAAAAGGCAATTATACAACAGGCTTCTACAGTTCAAACAATGCTTCTGGATTTTGTGCACATATACTAAATAATTTATCAAATCACAGTGCTAAGTCAAGTTGTATGGAGACAAGCTACCCAGTCTGGGACATCTTGTACCACAGTTTCTAATACAGGAATATGAATAGTACATGGAAAATACTCAAGTGAAGAGGCAAAGCCAGAATCGTATGCATCAATCAAATGCAAAAAGCGGGTACTGAGTACACAGAAAACTGGTTGCCAGCAATAGGTCCAGTAGACATCTGCAATTTATCCTCTGCCACTCGTGGCCCTCTCCTGGCATTCTGTTTATCCAATCTGCAAAAACTATTTTTGAAAACGTCTCCATTTTCAAGTTTGTGCTCCCCTTTCATACTGTATGACAACCACTTTTCGAAGAAAGTTATTCTATAATATTTTTGCTGTTCCACGACAGGCTAATGTGTGGCTTGTCATCATTGAATGTACTGTAGATTCACCAGCAAGCTAAAAGTAGCCATGACATGACAAAACATTAATGAGAAAACTGTAGGTAGAGCCAAAACACGTTCACCTCTTCAATTGTTAAATCACAACAAAGACTACCCTTGATCTCTCGCCAGGTTCCACTATACAGGAGGTCGCTTTTCAAAGAGACCTTAGATTACATCCTGAAGTACAATCTGCAGTCTCCACTGGAAAGTTCTCTTGCTATCACGAGTTTCAGACTAATCCTCCTTTGAGAAAAGCCAGCACAGAGTCATGCGCGTCATAACAGTCAGCTGAGCAGCTTGTCTTCTCCCCACACCACTGCTGTGTGACACCTGACACCTTTTTTAGCTCTACTTCTGCCAGCAGTTTTCTACTAACTTCAGCAGCACAAAGAGAGCTAGGAACTGCAGGAGCTTAGAAAGCACACTCCTTCCTTCCATGAACGTTGACTCACGAAACATACACCGAACGGTCTCGAGGAGGAACAAACCCCTCAGGGAATCCTCTCTCTGAAAGCCGTCTGTCATTTGACGAGAAACATGAGAAGAGAAAAGCAATTCGAGATGCAGTTTGCACTGCCCTACCCTGTATTCACCATAACTGCAATGTTCATGCTAGAGAATGCAAACTGTGGAAGCTGGTAAGAGAGAGAGGCTGCAAAGCCTAGATGAGCACTCACCCTCCTCCTTCTCCCCAGATGCATCAGACTCCTCTTGTTCTCCAGCCTGCTACAGATTTTCTGTCTCAAAAATCTCAGTAGAAAAGAAATTCTCCTTGCTAGAAGATTACGTACATTTCAAGAAGAAAAGGTCAGACCTATACACACATTGAACAAAGCAGCTCGTTTGCTCAGAAGATGGTAAGGACAAGAGCCTTTGTTATTACTTTACAAGGTTTCTCCTAAAGGCATAACTTTGCAACACTCCCTTCAATTTTTGAGACCAACTCTTGAAACTCTGACATAGCTTTTATTTTGTCCTCATTCTGGCAAACTTCTATCACTATCAAGAATTAAATGTTTGGCCTCAAAAACTATTCTCATAAATGAGGACAGGATAAAACTGAATGATTCGTCTCAAAGACAAGGAGTAAGATTATAAAAAGTCTAGGTGACTTAGGAATCCCTATGCTACATTTAGGGCTGACTTTTCTCTCTGATGCTTCTCTATGCATGACCAAAGCATTAACCAAGTTTACTCACTCTAGCTGCCTTCAGGTGTAAGTGACAAATACAGGGATGCCACTGGTTATGATGATTTTGCTTCAGGGGTGGTGAGGATGACACCAAAAGGCTTCATTCACACTGTTTAGATTGGAGCACAGCTCATGGCTTTAAAATGAAACTGTTTTAAGTTCACAAAGCACAAGTGAAGGAAAACTCTCCTCCCTTAGTGTCCAAACACAGTTAGGGTATTTTGAGGCTTCAAAGAATCTGTTTCTGCTTCCCCTCTCAAAACCCCTCTTCTCCTTGCAAGAACTGTTTTTTTTCTTTGCCGTGTTCATTTACATTCATTCATCATGCAGCAACGATGCATGAGTTTCATTTAGGAGCGTCTACTGCTGAAGGGAAAAGAGCTGTTACATTTCCTGAACTAGATGTTCACAGGCAATGGTTACTGCTAATTTGTCTGTTACGCTGGCAATGTGTCATTCCTGCCTTTGAGAGCCTTTAACTAGAAGGATTAAAGAAGAAAATAAATAACAGTAATACCACCCTCTGATTTCAGCACTTATTCTCTTCTGCAGGCCCCCTGCAATGCTTGTTGCCAGGCTTTGTCTACACTGGGTAAAGAAATGAGGAGAAGACTAATTAAATGAACATGCTGATTAAATTGGTTTAATAGGCAGCTAGTTAGATGGGTATCTGTGGCAAATGGGGTACACAGCACATATGGCAATTCTCAGCACTAAACTGCATATAAGGCGGGAGAGTATTATAAATGAGTTCACAGGGCTTTCAAATCTGCTCGGCTTGAATTGATCATTTTGTGTTTTCTCTCAGCCAGATACAAATGGACTGAATGTTCTGCAGCTGTCATCACCTCTCTGCACAGTTAAAGGCAGTTGCCCCTGACTTAGAGCGCAATTTGCTTTTCGTGATGTACCCCAAAGCTCTGTGCTCATAAAGGTTTTCATTCGGAGGGGAGCTGGCTACTGCTCCATACTGGAAGAAGAAAACGTACATTGCCATAATGTCTGGTCTACCATTTGTGGCTGATGCAAGTGTTTGGAGCAGTAAAGCTGGCCAGCCCAGTGTAATAGTCAATGGTACACAGCTGGAGGTGCACAGCTGGCCTTAATATAAAAGGTAATTAATGGATTTTTTTAGGTTTTTCAGATACAGCTGAAAACAGGGAAAAATTAAGTAACCTGGGATGCACCATGAACCTGGCTCTCCGCAAAGTACTTTGTATTAAAGAGCATATAAAGAATCAAACCTGTGCTGGCTCCCCAGCAACTTGCTGTTCAGTTTTTTCATCTGAACAAACGAGGAGGACTGAATTAAACACACCTCTTCAGCAGCATACGGCAGGAAAAAGTGGGAATTGTCTCCTGCATGACTGCAAAACTCAATCCAGACAAAGATTTTTCACTTATCTCGTCACATTGCTATTAGTAAAGCTGCATTATGCCCTCACAGCCTCTCTTATACCCAGGTGATTATTGTGCTCATCTATCTCCATGCCTGGAAGGCTCAGAGCAATAAAAATTGGTAGTTCTTAATCACTGCTCACAGAAATCAGAAATAATGCCAAATTTGGTGTGCCCTTGTGCCCCCAGCATATGTCCAATGAAGTTAATGGAAGTAAAGGTTGATGCTAGAAAGCTGTTCTGGTGGATACAACAGGCCTGTTAATACTTAAAGAGGAATTACTAGCATAGGATACAAATCTAAATGAGGATAAACTTAGAGGAAGAGCTGCCAGGAAGAATCGAGCACCAGCAATGATGTAGAAGCCAACTCAACTGTCTTTCACATCAGTAATGTGTGTGCAGCAAATTTTGAACACATGCTACACGATTAGGAGAGAGAAAAACCATTCATTGTCTGCCCCGTCACAGTGTCTGTGACAAATAACTTGAATCCGACTACAACACATTGCTAGGACCATCCATTCTGAATGACTTCCTGCAATATATGATCTTTAAATAACCATTTTCTTCTCTCCCTTCCCTTGTTGAAACCTTAATCTCCAGTTAGTATGGGTCTACACAATTCCACTAAATTTGCAAGAAATCTGAAATACTAGCTCTAAGAGATGGCCTCCCTAAGCATTGAATGTTCTGCACTGCAAACTGTCTCGCCACCCAGCAAACCATGAAGAGTAGTTCTACAAAGATCTCCCATACCTAATTTTGGTTCCAGACGTAATTTAGCTAGAAGGAAATAATCATTGCAGTGGCTATAAGGCCATCACATCTTCCCTCCAGGAAAAGGGAAACAAATCCAAAGACTCTCGAACAGAGTCCTCTTCATTTCCATTCTTGACTTGTCTGACCAGACACAGAAGGAAACAAGCATGTTCAGTGTTTGACCAGTCCATCCAGGGACAACCAAGGGGACATTGACTGTCCCATTGTGGTACAGCAGAAGAAAGCCTACCCTACAGTCTCTCTGGTTTGCTCTTTATGTGACTGAAGTAAGACAATGCAGATGAGACACAAAAGAAAACTGGCTTGGGCTGTGCTCTGGGCTGCAGGATCTGCTCCTTTAAACCTGTATTCTCTGGTGTGTGGAGCTTTAAAGCCTGGCTTGTGGGAGGAAGGGGATCTTCTCTTACTTCAGACAGTTTTGATGGGCCCCTACAGGAACTCTCCTTGGCACTATCCAGTAATACAGTTAAAAATCCACAGGGGAAGCTACTGGCTCGTGCAGCTGCAGGAGCCAGGGAGCAACTGGTATTGAAAAGCTTCCTCAGTATTTCTAGACTGGAATGAGTCTGAAAAGCGACATGATGCTGGCAATGTAACACTTGTATCAGGTAGTGTCAATTTATAATCCAGTCTGCAGCATCAGTGTTTTTTCATCAATTCCTCTAATAGCCAAAATGGAGCAGTTAAGCAAGCCAGATTTCCATTTCCACTCCCATCTGCTCCCCTCACAGAAGTCCCTTCCCACCCAAGCCATTTGATGACTACACACAAGCAAATGTGATCACTGAACATTCCCAGCTGTTCAGTAATAATCTCATACTTCGGGCATTTATCATAATCCTCAGACCAAGACCCAGGGCTGTGGAGTGCCTGTAATGGGTCTTATAAAATAGCGTTGCCCTCTCACCTCAGAGACAGCCTCCCAGCCACCCACACGGATGCCCGTTCTTCTAGGATACACACAGCTGCCTTACACTGTACATAGCACTAGAAATAAAACAAGAGAAAGTTACTCCACCTGGCACTTGCCATGTACACAGAGGTCGGTCTCGTAAGGCCCACATGGAGTACCATCCAGGACTCTGTCTGTCACCAGCACAGGGGAATCCTTCCCCAGTGGAGAGCAGAAGAGCTCACATGGCTTATCTGGAAAAAGAAATACAAAAGCAAGTGCCTTTAGGAACAGCACAGACAAGTGTTTGAGGCAATGGCATTGCAGTCTCTATGTGAATGGATTTGGAAAGGTATATGTTGATATTCTCATATTTGAAGGAACACAAGCCTTTCGATTTAGGCCTGTCATTTCCCCACTTTAAAATATCCATATTCAAAGGGTTACATTGATGAGATTGGTGTTTTAAGACACAGAAAATCATCTAGTCAGTACACTTCTGTGTATCTGTTTGTGAATGGAAGATGTTTGGTACAGGGAATATTCAGCAGCCTGATATGAATGACCACTGCGTGAGTGTCTCAGACAAAATTCAGGATACAGCCAGTGATTTTAGAAGAACAAGTTCTCCAGTCCATTTCCACTCTTGATGGACTGACTTCTTGCATCAGTTTGCCAGTAAGAACGCTTGGATACATAAATTTAAAGCATTGCACACATATTACCTACTATTTCCTTAAATAGTAGGGAATAGTAGGTAAAAACTATTTGTGGTCCTACGAACACTGCTGTCAGCAAACTATGCTGCTAGAATATCTACAGAAAGAACCTCAAATTAATTTGAAATACATCAGTAGAGAAAAGTTGTATTTTTCGTCCATGCTAATGGCAATTGTTATATACTTAGACGTCACTTTGGAAAAGCTACTATTGTGTTTAGCTAGAGGAGTTAAGTAAAAAACCACTGCAATATGCTACTAATTCTGGCAGCACTGATCAGAGAAAAATCACTGAATCATCAGGGTTTTTTTACTTTTCTCTCCTATTTACAGGACCCTCAGCAACCCCTAGTCCCTGATTGGAAACGGAGAAAGGAGTGAAGCAGCTCATCCCTGGAAAAAACTGGGAGAGTTTTCTGTGACTGAAATTAGTCAGGGAAGTAGCTCTGTATTGTGCGTTCACTCAGCAAAATTATTTGGGGAGGGGGGCAGAGGGGCACAACAAGGAAAACCAGCCTGTCTCCTAGGGCATCTGAAGGCATTGTGCTGTTGGAGGGTCTGCTACAGGAACTGAAAAGCTGCCTGTACGCTTGTCCTGGTGTCAGACCTAACTTGTTAGGGCTTATCCAGTGCCTGGTCTTCCGGTATCCATTTCAGAAGCACCTTCCTCTGTTCAAGCATGTCTTTGAGATGACCAGATGAAACCACCCTGTCTGTTTTTCAGCAGGCTGCAGCGGAAGATATTTGCTCCTGCAGAAAGGATGTTACTTCGATCCTTTTTCATATCTCCCAACATCTGGTTGAATAATAGATGAACAGCAATATCCAGGGAAGGACGCATTAAAGGAATGTAAATAGGATACGCAATCATGCTGAAATGCCCAGAATTGACACACATCAAAAACATCCCAGGGAATCCATCTTTTTTTTCAGTTCCAAATTAATTTAAGCTTTGTAATGTTTCAACTTCCATTTCCAAATACCTGTCTGTTCAGACTAGGAATCAAGTTAAGGCACCTCTTCCCCAGCAGTACCAAAAGATGAGTAAAGAACTAACAGCTCTGTATCTTCTGTTAAGAAGGTTAAACGAACAGCAAGGCAGCACCAGGAACAACTAATTGTAATTAGTCTTTCAGCTGTAGCTAAGGGGAACACACTGTAGCCTTCTTAACAACAAACAAGAGTCTTGCAGATGAAATCAAGATGGGTTGAGAAGCTGCAGTGAAAGAACAGCAAAGAATTACAGAGGAAGATGAAAAAACATACCATCAACGATGACAGCTGTGAGGAGGCTTTTTTTCTTGTTGGTGTATCTGTCATGGGCCTGGCACTGTTGGTCCCTGAAGCTTGGCACACCTTTGGGGCAGGGTAAGTTCTCACACACAGTGTGCTCTACACTGGCTCCCCGACAGTTCTTCCCACCTGGTCCCGGGCTATTGCAGGAAAGAAAGCCAGGGTCAGCAGGAGCAGCACGGCTACTCACAAGCATACCTTCACCTAAGGTTCTCCGTTCAAGGCAACTCTTGAAATAGCAGGGAGAATCCTTCCTCTCAGATGTTCCTTGTTGGAGGGCAAACCCTGTGCTCAGGGGCTCTGACAGAAAACTATTCAAGTTCCATTCTGGATCTATAATTGACTTATCATAACAGGTGCCCTGGAGTACTTCACAAGAATGTTCTTTTGCAGCATCCCATTCACAGAACAATAAATAGGGGATGCCTACACATTGCACATCTCAGGTAAGAGGTAATGCAAAATGCTACTCACCTGTGGGCACTAAGCAGCCTTCTTAGAAGATCTAGAGTGTTTAACTGTTTATATTCTGGTCACAAACCAAAGGAAGTAACTCATTTTGCCCTGATGCAATTTCTTCTTTGACTTCAACAGCAAATCATTCCTGTCCTAACCTATTTTCAGATGGAGGAGCCAAATGACTGAGAAAGTGCAGAGAGAACATGTGTGTGTTTGTGTGTACCAGCAGTTTCAGAACACGACTTGAAGTAAGGCTCTCCCAAACTGTAGGTTCTGCTGTGACATCAGGCCTGAGCTCTGACTAACTTTTCCTGTGACTTGGGACAGGTTTCTTAACTGATGGTGACTTGTGGGGGTCAGGCCTTGGAAGGTGCACTGAGCATAACACTGGAGGTTTGAGTATTATTTGTATCTGCATGGTCAGGCAGTTCAGAAGATAATTTGTGGTTCTACCACAAATATCAGAGTTAAGTATTTGTGTTCTTAATGGGGAACCTAGAAGCACCACAGTGACTTTACTGTGCCCAGGATCATACCAAATACCGAAGGCAAAGGCAGGCAACCTGGGATGTTTCACCTTTCTTTTCCCACCTTTGTTTGCCCCCTGCCTCAAACACTCTTAACAGTGGGACACAGCAAATTTCTCTTCAGCACATGTCCCCTAAGGTTCTGGTTTCAGCAGTTTAAGTAGCTATAACCTGTACCGTTAAGTAGGGCATCCAGAACCAAATTTGTGCAGCAGATAATCTCCATCCATGAAAACCATGCCATTTTACACAGTTGTGTTTTAAACATGTAGGAAAGATCACTAATGCAACATAAGGATTAAGCACCTGCAAACTCTATTTATTCTGATTTATGATTCCCCAAAGAAGAAGGAAAACTCAAACTCTCAGCAATAGCTTATATTTTCTTTGCAAAACATACGAAACAAACAAAAAACCCAAGTAAGCAAAAGATTTAGTCATCGTGACATAATTTCTGCAGCTACTTGCTGAAGCTCTCCTGAATTTGTCACATAGCTATCTCCCCAGCTGTAATCAGCAGAGACAGATAAAGTTCTTCATTCATATTCTTACTCTTCTTTAACAGATGGCTATAAAAAGCAACTCTGGCCAAATTCCAGTTTTTAGCAGTGTGACAGTTCATTCCAAACATTTCTTCCCCCTCCCTCCCAGAAGAGCAATGAACATCAGGTTATATCAGTCAGCTAATTAGAAACCAAGGCCCTCATTGTGTGTCATTCACTTGTGTCAGTGGCCCTAGCAAGAATTGCCCTGTTCACTTACACACTGGCTGTAGGACTGAATTTTTGATTTCCTAGCTGTGCTGGACTTGATGAATGCAGCATTTGGTGCAACAGAAACATTTCATTCTGCATAGAAGAGCTTTATGTCAAATTTCAGCCTCGATCAAATTTTTACAGTAGCTCCACAAAAGCCAGAAAAAGTGTTTTGTTTTGTTTTTAAATGTAAATACTGATCTCCAATGACACTGTAGCATCACAGAGAGTCACCAGAAGAACAGCCTGACCAAACGCCTGCTTGCCCTGCTAACATCTCTTCTCTGCCACGCACGTGTGCAAGGCAGCAGATGTGCTGAGACTGATGCAGAAGTCATCTGGGAGGATTGTGTCTGCTGCCTCAGACTGGATGAGACAGATACTCAGTCCAGATGACGGGAAGCATGATGCAGGCTTCTTCCCACACGAGTCCTCGCACTCACAGACGGACAGATACACAAGCTTTGGTTTCAGCACTGTCTCTTGGCTACAGCAAAAGAGATGTAGCCATTTACGTGAGTGACTCCGTGCATATTTGTGTGTACGTGCACAGGAAAAAAAAAAAATAACCAAACAAAAGAAAGCAGTCAGAATACTCAGAGTAACAGAGCGTGCTCTCAAGAGCAGGATATCAGGCTGATGGCTGTGGAACAGGAGACACAGAGGGATCCTATTTACTGTGTTCACCAGCAGTTGCTTTGGCTTTAACCTTCAGATGTCACTGACTTGCGGGGGACTTTCTACAAGTTTGCCAATGCGGACTGGAAGCAAGCAGCTCTCGCTACTGATAATAATAATCACTGGCAATAATAAATAGCCAAATCCATTAGTAGACGGAGACTTCTTGAGCACCCACCACCCTCAGGCCATGGGAGCTGCAGGAATGTAGTGCCTTTTGGCCTGCACTCCTCTGCTCAGCTCTTCAGCAGTCTGACTTGTCTTCCCTTTCTAATCAAGGAGTAAAATGAACTGCCTCCACCTGATGTAGTGTCTCTCAAAATTAAAGAGCTGGATGAATTCATCTCATCAGCCTCAAAACAACAGAGCATCCTACAGATCTAGGGGATGTTTCTACTCCTGGTAACCCAACAAAAAAATAAGATACTCAACAAAACCATCCCACCTCAGCTCCCTTCTGGCCAACAGTATCATACTTTATTTGGTAGCATGTTGCTGCTTTCTCCTAGACTAACTTTAGTAAAACACTAGTAGAATATACAGCATCTACTCAAGAGGTTGAGGAACAAGCAGATAAACAGACATGGACGGGCAGTCAGAGAAATGGACAACACAGCTCTGCCACACTGACTGTGCTCTCTCCTCTGCCACTGTTCAGGTAGAGAATGCAGAATTACTGGCAGTAATCTTTTACTTAACTGACCTCTGTAATAGTATTTCAGGATTACAGCCTCTTAGCACATTTAAACAGGATACTGAGGGTTTTCATCATGCAAGATGAAAAAAATAACGACAGTCACTCTCTCTGGTCTCCCACAAATGGTTACCTAGCATTTGTTTATATGCCTTTTCCTACTTCACTCCATTTTTGTGGCCTCATTCTTGCCTCCCACCTCTCCAAATGCTGAGGTCAAGACTTTGAGCATCACCTCTATCAGACTCTGCAATAGAATCTGAAGGGAAAGATCCCTGTAATCCCAAGTCCCAAGCCCTGTATAATATGGGCTCTAGCACTGCCTGAGATTTCCAGTAACAGTATAATTGAAGCCCACCCTGACTGTGCGAGATCTCACAGTAGACAACTTTGCAGCCATCTTCCACTGTATTTGTGCCAAGAGGATCCACCCAGTAATGGAAGTGAAGAAATCAAAGCCCATTTATACTACTATGACCCTTTTATATGATAAGGGAGGACTGAAGAAAGGGTGGAGATCTCATTTTGATGTTCTACTTAAGCCAGTGTTTTTCTCTTCAGTGCCCCTGTAGGACAACAGCCCAATGTTGCTCACCAGGCTGCAGCTCCAAGGATGTCATTGCATCTCCCACAGCCAGGAGGAAATGGCCCGCCTTTTGTAGGCAGGGTCTAAACCTTAATTAGGAAATTCAGTCAATTCAATCCAGCTGGGCAATCTGGGCAATAGCCACAGTTGCAATAGCCATAGCCCAAAGCCTAGACAAGAACACAAGGCAGTACGACACAAGTGTCTGCACGTGCAAACTGGCTCGTGACATGCTGCCTTACAAACATTTGGAGGCAACGCGTGCAAGTACTCACAGAAATTACAGAGAGGAAAAACCAAATCAAACAGTGAAGCAACTGGTTTAAAAATACTGATAGTCCCACAGGCTCAAAAGTCAGCTGGCAGGAGTAGAGATTCCAGTTTAAAAAAAAATAATCCCAAGACTAAGTATATATAAAATAAAAGATAAATCCCTTAGCCAATATTTTTGGACAGTGAATAAACCAGCTGCAGAAGAAATGGGCTGACGCCAGGAGTTTGAAGCAAAAGAAGATCACGTGTGTATCACCAGCCAAGAATGTATATGAGCAAGAGAATTTTAAAATCAGTGTGCAATCTTGGAGGGAGCATTTCCTATAATTTAAGGAACGATGATGAATGGATTTAGGTTTGGTCAGCACTGTGGTTAAAGAGACTTTTGTAGTTGACAGCAAGGAAAGCTCAGTCCCTTGTACAAGAAAATGAGCTGCTAAAAATCAAGCCTGGACATTACAGACATTCAATTTCAGTTCAGTGTTATTTAAGGAGTGGAATGAACAAAAATATCAGTTTTACATTAATACAGCTCTGCATCAGCCAGTATGTGCCTATCCATGATCTAGGTATGTCTTCAGAATGACTCTGTTTCCAGCCAGAATTTCAGCCCTTATTTTAAAAAAAAAAGTTTCCTCTGCTTTTTCTGTGGAGGAAACCTTAAAATATGAATGAAGTTAGAGATACCTAACTTGGAGAGTGGCTCGCAAGATTGTGAGCACCCTCATTCACCTCAGAAGTTACAATGGACACAAACAGGGGTGGTGAATTAAATGACCATCATGGTAACCTGTTCATGTCTCCCGTAAGAAGAAAAGACTTCCAGATGTGCCCCAATTGACCCGAGGGATGGCACAGGGCAGACCACATCTCTTACATTTCTTTCTGAATTGGAAAAAACTCCATGTCCAAGCAGAGAGCACAGGCTCATTTGTAGTCACTGTGCAGGAGCTAAATGGCACCCACAGCGCTCCGTGTGTGGGAAAACTTTCCTTTTCACATGTGGCACATCCTGATGTACAGAATATCTCGAGGTGTTTTACCCACACAGCTGTATGACGCTATGATCACTGTCAGCCACTCTACCGCTTCCCGAGCCCGGAGCCAGCACTCCCTGTAAAACTGATCTCTAAGACATATTGGCTCAGCTTGGTCTGTAGATCCAGATCAACCCCTCCTCATTCACTGCAGTGCTGGAGAGGAAACACAGCATCATCATTTTTTCTGCCAAACTGCACGTTTTTAATTCAATTGTATCTATGTTTGAATCATTGCAATGGACCACTTCCAATGGTAATCCTTCAAGCCACTTCCACAGAACCTACTTCACTCCAAGCCACTCCAGGATTTTGACCTGGTCCTTACTGCTTGAGAACAAGAAATCTCTCTCGTGTCCTCTGCACAGCTCTGTTGACATTTCTTCCCTGTACTCTTGCAGCAAGGATTGTCTAAGTGCTACATGCAAAAAGAAATCAGCATGACGTGAAGACTTACGGGGGATTGTCGCATTTCCGCTGTCTGAATCGCACTCCGGTGCCACATGTCCTGCTGCACATGCTCCACTGGCTCCACATGCTCCAGTCTCCATCAACATGCTCAGGGATGGGAGTTTTACTGACACACTCCCCAGCTCGGCACCACTGAAATGCAATTGAGTTAGCAAAGGCTGGAAAGAAGCTCCAATCTTGCAAGCATTCCCGCACAGGTGGACTTCAAAGGATGTCTGAGAGATTACAACAAGCCCATGTTTAACTTTCTAGAGATTCAACGCTTCAGTGAGATGGAGGTGGGAGGAGGAGAAAGGGATGAGGTGAACCACAGAAATTTAAGTGTCACCCTCAACGAATCCCTGAAGGGAGTTATGTCATTAAAAAAAATAATCACAGAATTGAGCCCCTTTACAAAGCAGATAATTATCTAAGTGCTAAGACTTAAAGCCACACTCTTCACAGAAACCAAGTCCAAGAAATTATACCCCAAAGCAATGTCTTCATCAGCAGTATTTCCAGTATGTACTAAATAATTGAGGTGTTTTGGACCTAACTTGGGTAAGGCCCCAAACAACCTTTGATTCTGTTACGTTGCGCTGGCTCCCGACCAAGTGGCGAACTTGGCCTGTTCTCCTGCTCTGTCCAGGATCCGATACTGAGAGCATTGCTAAGCAGTGTCTTCAAAACAATCACCAGGACTCCTGTCGCTAGAAAAACATATATCTAAAATCTTTTCTCTCAGTTTCCTTGTCATGCTTCCCACAATGCAGGTTTTCTTGCCATCGTTTACTTTTATTTGCAAACAAAGAAAAGGTCTCTAATCCTTGATTTTAGCAACAAACTTTTTAATTTTACTCTTCCTTACCTCCCTAACCATATGACGTACAAAAATACTAGAATCCAAAACCAGTAAGTAGGGGGCTGGCAGTTACCAAACCAGTCAAGTTCCTTCGTAGCCTAACGAGTTATCAGGTGCACTGAGAGAATCAACCACACGGGTTTATGAACCACACAGCACCTCACAGCCCATCTCAGAGGTTAAACATGTTCACTTAAGTCAACTCCTGTCAGCACAGTAGGTCAGCTGGAAGGCAGCAGCTGAGCCCCAGTAACTCTCACCCTTACAGCACTGAAGCCAGTTACTAGAATGGTGATTTTCACAGGAGGAAGATCCACTAATGTGAGAGTTTATTTTGTGTTTCTTGTAACAATTTTCTACATTGACCTGGATTCTGGAAAGTCCATATATGCCTTTAGTCATCTGAGTACATACCTACGGTACAGCAAACAATGCTTCAAAAATAACCGAACATCACTGAACTTGAACTCAGCACATTTTGAGCTACTTTCAGAAACTATAAAGCCTTTCAGTAGTGTCTTTTTCTTCCCCCATATTTCTCCACTCCCCAAATGTCAGCCTAAATGCTCTCCACGCTTTCTACCTCAAATATAGCCGAGAACACTGCTACCTTAGCTTTCGCTGGAGAACACCTCGCTTGTGAAGCACCACTGACAGCAACAAGCACAAGTGACAGGAGTGAGCTACTGCCCAAGGTGACTCGCAGGGTACTCGCTCTGTGCACTCAGCCCAGCGAGGCAGCGGGTTTTCCTGCAGTGGCTGTATGGCACCTAGACCACAAGAACTTGACCAGAGGTCCCCAGAGGCTACTGGAATACACGTAACATAAAATCAGAAAGACTTAACCCAAACCAGCTGTTAATTGAGCAGTTTCTGTAATAGAATCAGTAAGAAATACGGGTTTATGGTAAATACTGAACATCTTGGAAACATTATTCCACAGACAATGCTGGAAAAAACAAACTGACTGCTACCGAGCATTTTGATTACCTTGTCTGCACCACATTCAGTGCCATCCAGAGGGGGGTCCAACTTCGTTTTACAGGATGTATCTCCTTCCACCAGGCACCAGAGCCCAGCACACATCAAATGCTGTAATCACAAAGCAATGAGGTGCAGTTATTACTTTTGGAGATGTCAGCTGTCATTATGGGATACACTGCAAAGCTCAGGCAGTCTTTCTCAAGTGAATCCAGAGGCATCTAGTTGGTTTGGGAGCAATTATCTTTTAAGGACAGATTGGCATTAAGTAGTGCAGCTGGGAACATAAGAGATTGATGGATGCCATTGTTAGGAACAAAACCCACCCGAAACAAAAAATGCATTATTTAAATAGATTTCTTTTCACAAGAATAAATCTAGTCCATTAAGAAAGGATGCTATATGGGAGGCCGATTTGGGTGCTTTGGAACCATGCCACATGCTTAGATGTCCGAGCTGCTTAATTACTCGTATTTTTTAAAAAGATATCCAAGTAACTAAGCATGACGAAATGCAGTCAGCCCTGTTGGATCTGGTGTTAGCTACAATCAGTCAGCAATGCCCCTTGGGAGAAGAAGATCTTAAGGCAGAATAAGAATGAGGAAAGGATTTCGTGGTGTGCCATGCAGCAGAGGAGGAGCTTGGTGACAGGCAGTGAAAAGTTAGTAAAGGTTTGGTGGTGAGAAGAAGCTGCTAGAAGCCAATATGCTAGAGAAGGTGAGAAGTGAGATGTGAGGGCAAGAGCAGCAAGAGGTACAGCACATCTCACTACCAGACTCGAAACACACTCTGGGTATCATTACTCAACACTGCTGCTCTGCTCAGCCACTGTGCATTGCAGGGATATTAATGCTGACCACGCTTGCGTGATCTGTCAGATCAATAATATTTTCAGAATTTGAGAAAAAGAATCAGGAAAAGGGGCCTTTACATCGCTAACATTTTCCACAGCATCCACTGTGCTTTGCATTCCATGAAAGTGGGTGATTTCAATACAGTGCTACAGATCTGAGTACCAAAAAAAGAAAAAGAAGAGTTAGATTTCTTTCCACTATTGTTCACGTTTCAATGTAATGGTAAAAAGATGAGAAGCCTGACTCAAATGCCAGCTGGTATTGTCAAGATTTATTGCACCTCATTAAGTGGTTGAGTCAATAGGCTTCAATCTTATGGTTCTTTCACGATGTAATGTAAGAGACTGTGGGTGCATGTGTATTTTGTGTACAGGCATGTCGGAATGTCCATATAAAATAGATCTGTACAGCAGAGGGTGCAGACGAGATAAATCCCAGTTCCAAGAGCGATGATGTAAAACATACTGAAACAAAATCGTTATCACAGCAGTATCCACATCCTGCTTTATTTCTACATTTCTTTCTGGAAAGAGGATTTTGCACTATTTAAACCAAAAGAACATTCACAAGAACTAGAAGCAGGCGGCACAATTCAGCAACATCTGTATCAACCATAACACAGAAAGTCATCGTCAAACAAACAAACAACAGCAAATACACCAGGGAAGCCTAAATCAATGAATTTTCAAGATATTTCTCCTGGACTAACAGAGCACACGGGAGAATATGACTTCAGTAATTTTGACTAAATGACTGTGACTAGTTAGTGGTTTACCCATAGCTCTGAAACCACTTAAGCACCAATTATCCATAAGGACATGACATACTGTTTTACAGACAGGTATACTGAGGCAGAAGAATTGACAAGCCAGAGATTTCAGAGCTTACGGAGAAATCGATTGTTCCACACTGCAAATCCCAGGTTCTCAAAACCCCACCTTCCCTGGAAAGGACTAACATCAAAAAGTACATCAGTTAATTGTCCACAAATCTAGGCAATAAACCACTGAAACTGGAAAAGCTTCTCCCCAAATGCCAAACTTACAGCTCTGAGAGGATGCTTGCTTTTCTAGTTGTAAAGCTACAGCACCTTTGCATCTTGTGTAACTCACTGGGATCTAAAGGTGATGGGTTATTCTTTATATTAAGACTACACATACGAATGACTAAAAAGGATTCAAAAACAGTTAAGATATGTTAAAAGCATGTCACAGGCCTAAGTGGAAGGTACCACGGGAAGTTTTGGCCACAGTGGCAGGACATGCTACATGTAGCTACACGACACAATTAAATGCAGTCTATGAACACGACAGACTTCCTAAACAGTTTCTTTGCCATTACAAATAATTGTATTGCTGACTTATAAATGTTGTTACTGGTAAGTCAAGGTCAGGAATTAATTGACAATCTGGATTGTCTCTTCTCCCTTGACGACTGCGGACAAAGATCTTGTGAAAGCACTATCAGCTATGCTTCCTTTCAAACTCTTGTTGGGGAATAATGATATGTAAAATAAAGTGAAGCTTCAGAGATGAAGGGTGCAGATAGCATGTATTTCCACTTTTCTAGGCTTCAGCCCCTCTCTTACACATAACCACAAAGCTTCAGAGCAGAATGTGATGAGAAACCCTCCAGTCTGATCTCTTGAACGGCCCAGACAGACATTTTGCCCCGTGGTTCCACAAGGGAACCCTCTGCTTCTGCATTCTGTCAGAAAGACATCCTGTCTGAAGATGTAATGTAAAAGAAGTTGGTTCAGACACATACGAGCATCATTGCTAAATATCTATGCATTTTCCAAGGCTGGGATTTGTTAAGCTTCAGCTACAAGTCCCCGGATCATAAGATGTATGTAAATTAGTCAGGGTTAAATTCCCATCTTTGATGTAAAACTGGGAGAAGGAAAGGGGGGTGGGGTGGGGGGGGCGGGAAGTGGAAGCAGAAAGTCATAAAAATGAAGCAGCTTTTTGTAAAATTTTGGTTGCCAGCCAGAATTCCTCCATAGCCTGCAATAACATGGAAGGTGATAAACCCTGCTAACATGCCCAGGTATGAGCCATGGCCCGGAGGAAAAAATGGGCACAGATAAGCTCAAACAGGTGTGTGTCTGTACCAGCAGAACTACAGAACTGAGCCCAGTCTATGGATACAGTGGGTGCAAATATTTACACACGCGTGCGTATGTGTGTATATATATGTACATGTTTGTGCATATATATACATGTGTATGCACACGTATATTTATAGGGAGATAAATAAAATAAAATTATCTCTTAGCAACACCAACACTTCTGAAATTGCCCATCTTCGAGGTATGGAAAACACAGGATTTTTATAGCATCCCTGTGTTCGATTCCGAACACTAAATGCAAAGCATATTTCAGGAAACAGTTACAGAAAAATCTGGTAAGTGCGCTTGGGCTCTGTGTTCTAGTGCCATACCACTACAAAGCTCCAAGGCTCCTCAGTGCAGTCCCCCCTCAGATACCCCAGCAAAGATTCCACCATCAGCTGTGGTATTGTGTGTTCCCAACATGTTTTATCATCTTAATAGCTCACTTCAAAAGAGATTATATATCCTCCTCAGCTACAATAGAAACCCAGACAAAAATCCCCATTAAACAGTCCTACGGCTAACCAGTCACAGTGACTGACTTTTTAACAGTTAAATAGCCAGCTTTGTGGGGAAATATCCAAGTGGAAATGGCAGGACTTGAAAGGAAGTTGCTTGTATGTGAGTGGCAGTTCAGAGCTTCCCCTGACATAGAAGAAGCCATCAAAAGAGCTGTATTGGTGCTAATTGTAAATTCAGCAACCAGCTTTTAGAAGGCAGGTCTCTGCCTACAAAGTCTTCCCTACAGTATTCAAAAAGTCCCAGTTAGGGTTTTCCAATGATAAATATTTTTTCACTGGAAAAATACTGATTTGTTGAAACTGTCTGTGGGGAAAGGTCATCTTTGGATCAGCTCGCAGCTTGAAATATTTCCAAGAGCAAAATAAAATTAAAAAAGTGAGATGGTCGTTGAAAAGTAGTATTTCAATATTTTTTTTTTTCATTGAAATGCTTGTTCAGCTGAAACCTTAAGGAATTTATGCAGACAGGAAAGAAAATTTAAAAAATCAAAATAAAAATGGAATTTTTTAAAAAGCTGCACATTTCAGACTCTTAAGAACTCCTAGAAGATAGGTAAACTTGTCTGCACAACTGTTAGAAACTAGCCCAGAGAGAGAGGTCACAGTCCGGAAATTCTCAAGCTCCGAGATATCTGCTCAGCAGGTGAGCGGCGCTTCCAATTACAGGTATTATAACGGCATCTGTTTGAGAAAGGGGCCTTACTGCGCCAGGTGTTTTCTCTTCCTCAAAGGACTTGCAATCTAAACAGGCTCCTGGGAGCCTGGAGATAAAGGAAGCTTTATCCCTCTCCTGTTATAAGTGGGAAGGTGAGGAACAGAAAGGGATTAAAAGTCTTGCTGAAAGTCTGGGAAACAAGTGAAAACACCGCTCAGAGCTCTGCAGTCCTCTGCTCAGTGTCACAGCCACAGCCTCACACTGCCTGCTCTGGCTAAACTTCAGGGTAAAACCAGAAACAACTCCTGGGATACTCCCAGGAACATGTCTGGCTGCGGGCCTTCCCACCTTTCCCAGCTTTTCGCACTTTTTCACAACACATACTGTTTCTGACTGTTTACCTCACGTGTAACTCCATCCCACACGTGTGCCAGCACAGCCTCGCAGCGTGTGAAGCGCTACGACCCCTCGCATGTGGCTCTAGGGAAATAATCTATTTTAGGTTCTTTAACTCAGTGCTGCAGCTGGAAACGAGGAAAAGCCAGAATTAACTCAGCCAGTTCTTTGCCCACAGGCAGTAAGTCTAGAGTCTGCTAGTTTCTGGGTTGACTATTGCATCACCACTGTTACTAAAATCAGCATGATTCTGCCCAGTGACCTCATATGGTCGCAGTGAGAAGAAAGGGCCCACAATACCCCCCTGTCTCAAATCCTCAATTATTACCTACAAAGGAGAGCTTCCAAATCTCTAAAGCATGAAGAGAATGCAATGAATAAAGATGTCCTTTCCATCAGGGAACAGGTCTACAGAAGCTGGTTCTTCCCCTACACATTCATTCCCTCACCTTGGGTTCATCCCAAAAAAGAAACTCTTACTTATGCTGAGAATTAATTTGTTCCTGCTGCCTATTGCCCACTGGAAAGAGGAACCTCTTATTTCCAGCAGCAGAATTAAACCATCAGGAAAC